CCTTCCCCCCTGCCCCGCCTTCTAAATACACACACACTCACTGACAGATACGCATACACTAGCTAACAGACATGCGCACACACTCACTAACAGACACACACACTCACTAACAGACACACACACTCACGAACGGACACACACACACTCACTAACAGACACACACTCACTCACTAACAGACACACACACACACACTAACAGACAAACACACACTCACTCACTAACAGACAAACACACACACACTCACTAACAGACAAACACTCACTAACAGACAAACACACACTCACTAACAGACAAACACACACTCACTAACAGACACACTCACTCACTAACAGACAAACACACACTCACTAACAGACAAACACACACTCACTAACAGACACAGTCACTCACTAACAGACACACTCACTCACTAACAGACAAACACACACTCACTAACAGACAAACACTCACTCACTAACAGACAAACACACACTCACTAACAAACACTCACTCACTAACAGACACACTCACTCACTAACAGACAAACACACACTCACTAACAGACAAACACACACTCACTAACAGACACACTCACTCTCATTAACACACTCACTTTTTTTAATTTAACCCCCCAGCCTGCTTACCTTTGGGAATGCTGGGAGGGGGGGATCTCCTTCTCCCTGGGGTCTAGTGGGGCTGCTGAGCGGGCGGGCGGCGCTGGAGAGGGAGTACTTTTCCCTGAGCGCTCTGCTCGGCTCCCTCGCATGCCGCAGAGTGATGCCGGGAGCCGGAATATGACGTCATATTCCAGCTCCCGGCATCACTCTGTGGCGCGTGAGGGAGCTGAGCAGAGCACTCAGGGGAAGGTGCTCCCTTGCCAGCGCCGCCTGGACTGTTAGTCATTAGCCGCAAGGCTAACAAGACATTTGCCCTGGGCATTTGGGAGTGGCTTTTTTTACCGCCCCCTGGAAAATGCCGCCCAAGGCAAATGCCTTGTTTGCCTCGCGGCTAATACGTCCGTGATATCACTACTAAGCTCTTGTAAGATTTTGTTCCTGCCTTGCTCTCTGAAGGAGTCTACGGTGGTTATGGTGTCTGCTGGAGTGCTTGGAGCCTACAGGAAGCGCTAGGAGCATCCTTCAACGGAGGTACCCAGTCGGGGTGCCAGGTGATCTGATACAGCCTAATTAGAGAGCTGCCTCTGATCTTGGTGTATAATTGATGGTACTATTTTTTTTTAAATCTAGCAGCCAGAATTGAGGCATAAAGTTTAGTATCTACATCTATAAGGGATATCAGACTATAGTTTCTGACATCTGTAGGAATTTTATTTTATTTTAAAATAAGACGTGCATGGCGAGAGCTCCCGCATCTGAAGCCCTGATTCTGGGCATAACGCCCGACCACTGGATCGTGCTGGCTGCGGACAACTATCTTCCTGTCCAGGAGGGGATGCTGCATCAAGAGGTACTCGATACAGGGCTCCCCGCTGCTGAACCGTCCACATCGCAGCCTGCGGCCTGCATGGGTGGGAGCCGCGAAGAGACGGCCGCTCTCCCGGTTCTCAGGCTGAAGAAGGGGCACTCACATATTGCTTCTCCCCCCCCCATCTCCATAGGCCCTGTCACAGTTCTGCAGTCTACTACCAAAGCATAGCAGGTTTAACTCACGATTAACTAGATTATGTAACCATTGTTCACTCTTACACGACAGTCAAACCCCAGCAACAACTTGTGTTTTATTAGCTAGGGGTTAACATTAACAAAAGTTTTTTTAAAAGTAAAAAAAAGTTTTAATAACGTTTATAAAAAAAAGTTTAAAAAATCCCACCCCTTTTACCTAGTCCTAATAAAAAATTAACCTATTCCCTGCCAGTTGATCACAACTTACAGTGATCAAAATACAGATCACAGTATTATATTTACGGTTAGTGCTGCTTACTGCTAGTTAGGGGTTAACGGTAAAAACAATGTATATACAAATGTTAAATCTGTTAAAAAAAAAGTTTAAAAACAAGTTTTAAAAAGTAAAAAAAGTTTACAAAAGTACAAAAAATACATTTAAAAATGCTCATTACCACTAGAGAAAAACAAACTAGAGAAAAAATGACCCCACGCTAAGGTTCAAAATATGCCTTTTGAATTACCCCAGGGTGTATTCTTTAATAAATAGTATGTGTTTGTGGGGAAGTTTGAATAACCAACCAGCTAAACTACTCCAAAATGGAACATGGACATAGCATAAAACTTCAAAGTTACGCTGTATATATATCTGTTACACATGTGTAAAACACTGTACTGTTTGGACCCTCTAACCCTCCTTTTCTCGTTCTGTATCCCTCCCCCGAATACCTAAAACAACATTCTACAAATAAAGAATTTAAAAAAAACTTTAAAAAAACTTCAACGTTAGAAAAAAACTGAATGGCTGCGTCTCAAATGTGTCCCTTCAACATCCACATATACATGGCAAAAGTACATACGGGGGTATTGCTATACTCAGACGACATAGCTCAGCAACATATGTAGTATTATACAGTCATAGCACACATAAGGTTTGCAAAATATACTGTGCAAAAATGTGTGTCAAAAATGCAGGAATAAATGCAGAAAATGCAGAAAAAAATGCTTACTACCACTACACTTGGTACAAGCTAGCGAAAAAATGATCCCACGCTAAGGTTCAAAATATGCCTTTTGAAATACCCTGGGATGTCTTCTTTAAGAAATGGTATGCCTTTATGGGGTATTTGGATTATATAGCCTGGTAAAATACTCTAAAATGGGACATGGGCACAGCGTAAAAATGTAAAGTTTGAAAAAAACTGGAATGGCTGTGTCCCAAATGTGCCCCTCCGATGTCCACATATACCTGGCAAAGGTACATACGGGGGTATTGCTGTACTCAGCCGACATAGCTGAGCAACATATGAAGTATTATACAGTCGTAGCACACATACGATTTGCAAAATATACTGTGCAAACTCACTTTGTATGTCAAAAAGGCAGAAAAAAACGCTTATTACCACTACACTTGATACAAGCTAGCGGAAAAATTATCCCACGCTAAGGTTCAAAATATGCCTTTTGAAATACCCTGGGATATCTTATTTAAGAAATGGTATGCCTTTATTGTGTAGTTGTAATATGTAGCCTGCTCAAGTGCTCCAAAGTGGGACACGGACACATCAAAACCCTCCATGAAAATTCACACTTAAAAACCTGAACTTGTCACTACTTTTTTACAGCACTGTAACTTCACAAAATAGTGTCTAGGTCATACATATTTTACTCAGAAGGTGTAACTGAGTATAATTTGGGGATTTTTATGACAGTGGTACATAAAGTGTAAGAAATACTCTTTCCCCCCCTCACCACAAACATTGACATATATTGGTGAAAAAATGGTGACAAGTTAAGGCACAATATACACCATATAAGATACCCTGGGGTGTCTGCGTTATCAAATAAAAGCCTTTTGTGGGGTTATTTGAACAGTCACACTGCTACAATACCCTAAAATGAGACATAGGCCAGTCAAATCCATCTACGAAAATTCTAACTATAGAATCTGAAATAGCCTTGTCTCTTATATGGCTCTGTAGCTTTACAGAAAAGTGCCAAAGGCATACAATGGGGGTATCGTTATACTCAGCAGATGTAGCTGAACACAATATGGGGTTCTGTGCAGGAATAGCACACACCAGCTTTATGAAATACACATTGCAAAAACCTTGTTATATGTATATGCCAAAATAGAGAAAAAACACAATTTTACTGCAATATTTAGCAGAGATTGGCGATGAAATGGCTTCGTAAAAAGTGTCAAACTAACCTTTGGTAAATAGCCTTTGATGTCTACTTTATATAAATATATACTTTTGTGTGGCAATTTTGTTTTCTGTGATGGCTACTAAACCTACAAGACAAACATACCAACTTCTAAAATTGTTGCAAATTGAAATTTAATTTTAGTCCTTTTATTTTGTTGCCTGTAACTTTCAAAATAAGCTGAAATCCTATACATATGATGTACTCTATAAATCAGGACACATAAATGAATTTATTTTGAATTACTTTTTCTAAGCTGGACATATTATGCACACGCTATTATTGCCAAAACTTAAATTTTTTGGCATTTTTTATAATTAATGAGAATGTATCTATGTTTATGTGACATCAAATTAAAGCCCTGTTTGCCCTCTAAAAAAACGATATATGATATGTGTTGGTACAATAAATAACAGAGATGCAAATTGCGTTTGAACACAAACAGCACAAAATGCAAAAATGGCTTGTGTTCTTAAGCGTAAGACAAGCTTCTGAAGCTGTGTCCTTAAGGGGTTAATCTACATACTGAATAGGAAATCCTCCATTGCAGTCTATAGGAATATTGCTATTCTGTAAGTAGAGTATAAACTCTTCCAATGCTCAGATCGTCCGACCATTGTATCTACAGCAAATATTGAAAATGTGTACAGTGAACATTTCCGAAGCACACACTGATTGTATTTCTATTCTTTCTCATATACAGCTACAGATGTTAAGTGTTTGAAAAGGAAAAATTAACTTACATTTTATTCCAATATAACTATTTATTTATCAAATATTATAGAAATGATACATCACAATAGAATGTGAAAAATAAAAGGTTCAACGGAAGGTGCTTTGAAGAATGCAACAAATATCTGTTCCGCTGACTTATATAATCACATGAAATTCGTCAGATCCCGTGCATCCGTAGCATACTAAAAACAGAAGTGTCAATGCACCTGTTATTTTCTGTACGTGAGGCGGACTGGGGTTCTGTGGGTAACATTCTGCACTTTATAATCAAAATATTTTTTTTTTTTTTTTAGTTGTTAGCAGGAGGTATAATATTATAGAATCAGACAGTTAATACTCTGTTGCTGCGAGAGTCACCATGCTGATAATAATCCACAAAGCGATAGACGCTGATAGGAAGCCAACGGTCGTAAACCAGTAGCGGAGACAAAAGTCAAACTTGGAGAAATCTGTAACCTGTAATACGTCCATGTTAGCGGAATAATTCGGGATTAGATTAGTATCGATGATCAATGCTGGGGTTCATACTTGAATTAACTGTAAAGAGATAAATAAAAATATAAACAAACCCTTGCGTGTATTGCTAAATCGATAACATTGAAAGTGTAACGTAAATATGATGTCATGCATTTAAAATGTCAGAGAACAGGAAAATGGCAAGGTTTTGTTAAAGGTGGACACATATAAGTAGAATAAAGAGAAAAAAATCTTAAAATAAAATAGCCAAATATACAATAATAGTAAATTAATAACCAGATGTAAAAAGACCTTAAATACTTCTGCTCTTTTATAAAAATATAATGTGTCACCACCTACATTCCTGACTTACATTACAGAGCCGGATGGGTGTCAGACAGGCTCTGTATTACCCAAGGATAAGACAAACATAACGCTCTAGTAATAGCATAATATGATACTATGCAGAGAGCTGGAGAATTCTGCTTTAATGGTTTACTCCAACCACCATGACCACTGCAGCAATTCAAAGTGGTCATGGTGTCTGGAGTCTGTAAGTGTAGAGTTGAAAATACTATGAAATGCTGCACATACATATGGGGTGTCATTAACCAGCTGAGAACAAGAGAACTGGGCTCGCTAATATAAATTCTGTGCAAAATTGGGGTCTGATGCCAGTATGTACACCATGTTGTCACCAGACAGCCAATGGCATCATGTCCACCTTACATGCCGCCCCAGTGGTCTACTCAGTCCTTCCACCTGGCTCTCTCTCCCCCGAGGTGGACTAATGTCAGCTGAGAAAAATTGGGCTAAGGGAAAAGTTACTTTTGGTGAAGGAAACATTTTTTAATTAAATTTATTTTTTTGCATTTGGGGCATTTGCTGACAACCACATTTATGAAAACACTGGATTTTGGTTGGAGTAACCTTTTATTAAATAAAAATGTCACATTTATTTGCTATTGAAAATAAAAGCCATTAAAAGATTAACCAAATAAAGTGAAAAGAAAAAGAAAATATGACGTAAAAATAAAATCTTACAGACTGATTATAAAAATAATATAGGACTACCTACCTTTTTGATGTCAGATACTGTCCAATACAATTCTCTGATCCACAGTTTGCAGGGTGGATACTTAATTCATCGATCATCAACTAACTTCAATAGGGGCTCATCCATATCAGTACTTTGGTCAGCGTCTCACCAATTTTTGTTGCAAAAATAATAATAAAAACCCAAACTGTTGGCAGTGGAGAGGACTACTGAGATGTTCATAGTTTGTTTTTTAAGTGGTTTATTTTTAGTTTTCTGGGGAAGTTTGACTGAAAAAAGCTCATGAAAAAAACCCATAAATCTAGACTTGAGAAAACTGTGAAAAAAAGCTAAAAACTAAAAAAAGCTGTGTGGTATCTCTGGAATGATAACAGTTTTCCAGCTTCCCCTCCCCTTGGCTGATGACAGTCTGGACAAGCTGTAAAGAACAACTGGGCATGTCAAGATATTGTTGCAATTGCAAAAAATGCCCCTTCTGATTCTACACCTCAGATGTGCCCTATCTGCTCCTAGAAGGGCTTTCTGATGTCACCTGTTCACTTTCCATAGGGACATCTGATCCTGGACACCCAAGGAGAGAGGCATGGACATTGCTTTCTCTTCTAGAGCTCCCATTGACTCTCAGCATCAGGAGAGCAGGGTTACAGTACCTGGACGTCTCACAAACAAGGAAGGACTCTTGGAAGTAAAGCAAGCGGCATCGTTACTATCACCAACACCTGGCTCTAAAATTACTACCATTTTACCATCTAAACAAAACCTCTAGTGGAAGGGGTTGGGAGGGAGCAGAGGACGCATTGGCCTACGTTTGTGGACTAATTGTGTATCTGTGTCAGTGAATTAGATTTTTATTTATATTCACAGTTCAATTACTTGATTTATATATATTAAATTAGAGGAGCTATCTAAACACTATAACCAGAGGGTTGGTTAGCCCAGCGCTCTGAGCAATTGATTGCTATTCAGCTTGTATAGTTACATAGTAGTCTAGGTTGAGAAAAGACTAAAGTCCATTAAATTCAACCTTGAAACCCATTCTTTAATGCTGTTTATCCAAAGGGAGGCAAAAAATCAATTTGTAGCCATTTTCAATTATACAAAATAAAGGGGAAAAAAGTCTTCTTTACTCAGTAATGGCAATCAGATTTATTCTTGGATCAATAACCTGTTCACATACATATAGAATGGATATTGATTACTACAAGTGTAAATTCCGCATAGTAAATGTGTCTGAAGAGACTAGTCTATCGAGTGAGGGAGTGCCTATCATACAGCTCATGGGGGGTGGCAGCTATAGACTCTTTCCACAATAACTACAATATTGAGCTGGCATGGCCATGATGCTTAGCATGCCCCTTTAAAAAGCACTCACACGCCCCAGCCGTGGAGGGGATGAATTTGACACCCAGATACCCAGTAACAATAAGGGATAACTCATTTTGCCAAAATCTACAATACTGGGTCTCACTTTTACAGCACAAAAAAGATAAACAACGATGACAAACAATGTTTTGGTTGTTGGTGCTGCTCTTGTGACCATGTGATCCTCCATGACTGCTATGGGATTCCTATCCTTGGGATATCTGTGGGATTGTACAATTTGTTGGGTAAGGAGGACCTTGGCAGGTGTCCCCCAAGATGCCAGGGACGTCACCACTCCGTGAGGAATTCCTTCGGTCAGCCCCTGCTAATGGCCAGACGATAACTGTCACTGGCATCTTGGGGGAGGCACTTGCCATGATCCTCCCTAGCCAACAAATCGCTTAATAGCTTCTCGGGTGTGGGGGGTGGGGGGCATTTGTCTTGGTGCCCCCCCCTGTATCCACTGGTGACAGCTTGCAGGACTGGCTGCAGGTTCGCACAGTGCGACAGCTAACCCCATCTGAACCACCCGTGCACTCGCTATCCAGCAGGCAACAGGGGGAGCAAGCAAAAACCCGCTTGAGCTTGGAAGATGCCAGCCGTGAGGCTGTGCGGGAGACTGCTATATGGTTACGTAGATGGTAAGAGGAGGTGAGAATGGCTGCTCATGCTGCTAATTGTAGGATAGAGAGAAGCTATTCTAGTATTGGTGTTGGGAAAGTGGTAAATCCCAATGACGGTGGGATTGTTGTGATGCCTAATGGAGAATGGAGCGTGGTGATGTCTAATGGTGATGGGAGATAGCAGGGTGATGCCTTATGGTGATGAGAGAGGGCAGGGGTGATGCCTCATGATGATGTAAACACCACCATGAGGAATCACCCTACTCCCTCATCTAACACCACTTCGCATCACCCTCTCCCATCACCTCTAGGCACCACCCCACCTCCTTCTCACTTCATCACTAGGCATCACCGCCACCACCATTAGGAATCAACCCTCTTCTACCACCATAGCGCATCTCGCCTCCCACTAACCTCACTATTCGGAATTATATTCCCTCCCACTCCAATCACTGTTAGGAATCACCCCCTCCCCCTTCAAAACCCCTAATAAACCCATTTCTATTCCTACCTACAGCATTCTCCCTGAGCCTCGCTCTCTCCTCCACTGGCAGATGGGAGATGGAGGGGGGAGATGCCGAGGAGTGGTGGCAAATGGAAGGAGTTATGGCTCCCAAATAATGGTTAGAGAGGTGTAGGGTGAGGCCTAATGTTGATGGGAGAGAGAGGGGGTGATGCTTGATGGTGATGGGAGAGAGAGGGGGTGACGACTAATGGTGATGGAAAAGGCAGTGGGATATTATCCCATCTAACACCATCATTAGGCATAATCCCTCTCCTATCACCATTAAGAGTAAACCTCTTCCCTCTCTCACTACCAGAAGGTACCAGCTCCCTCCTTCTCCCGTGATTATTAGCCATGAATTCCCTCTCCCATCACCAAAAGGCAACCCCCTTCATCTTCCACCACTAGGATTAGTTTCTGTATTTCCTTAGTATTCCGCAAATGGTAGATAGGAGATAGAGGGGTGAGTCTTACAGAGATGGGAAAGGGAGGGGCTGATGGATGCGTAATGGTGATGGGAGTGGGAGGGTGTGACACCTGATGGTGATGCAAGAGAGATGGAGGGTGACACATAATGGATATGGGAGAGGAAGGGAGTGGGGTTTAGTGATGATGGAAGAGGAGGGTGGTATCCTCCCTCTTCTCCCATCACCATTAAACACAGCTCATTTCCTCTCCCATTCATTAATCAGCAAGTCATCTCTCTCCCATCACCACAAGGCATCACTCTCCTTTCCATCATCATTAGACATCGGCCCTCCCTATTCCATCACCCCCTCCATCTCTCAGCACCATTAAGCATCAAGTCCTCCCTCTCCCATCACTATTAACCAGCCTTCCCTCTCCCACCACTAACATTAGGCTCCATGAAACCCTTTCTTACTCCAATCACTAACGTATAGGAGGGGAGCCGGATAGTGAGTGGAGAGAAAGGGGTGATGGCTGATTAAAGCGAAACCATTGGCGGAAAATGTCTCTTATTTTACTGAATTATATAAAACAGGGGTCTAAAACCACAGGCCCATGGACCATGTGTTGTCCCCAAGCAACTTCTTGTGGCCCGTGGTGTAGGAGATAAACTGCCAGCAACTCAATTTCCAGACTGTCTGGTTAGACACTGGACCCCTGGCAACTGACAGTCTTTTAATTGAGCTGCTGGCTGCATACACAATGACCAGCATTGCAGAGTGGTGCCCTGAGATCTGAGTGTATGTGAATGTCTGTGAGTTTTTGTGCGTGTATGTCATTGGGAATCTGTGAATGTGTCCGGGAGTACGGATGTGCATCTGTGTGTATCCATGAATGTTTGTATGTATGAGTTTATCTGTGAGTGTGCGTTTATATGTGTATGGCACCGATTATCTGCGTATCTGGGTGTGCGTCTGTTTGTCAGTCAGTGTGGATCAGTGTGTGTTTCTGGAAGTATGGATCTAAGTGTCTGGGAGTATGGATCTGTGAGTAGAGATCAGCAGCACTCCATATGAGAAGGCACCTCTGCCAAGGGCCATCAGGTAAATTTGCATTGACAGCCCTGATATAGATAATGCAGTAAAAGGAAATAATATTACCAAAATTGCCCCAGCTTTTAATATTGTAAAAGAAAAAACCATCCAAAATAAATCATTATTCTAATTATATATTATTATATTATAAATACATTTAAATAAAAGTAATACTTACCATGTACGATCCCGGGAGAGGCTCGGTTTAGTGGGGCTGCAGTTACAGGTTGGCCCCTATTTGAGCAGGAAGAGGCTCCAATCAGGAGCATCTCATTTTGGACTATACCCAGCCTGGGTTTATGGGAGAAGAATATTATCAGTTCCAAACATCACATATGATGAGCAGAACTGTTCTGTATACAGATAGCAGCCATACCACCATTGCTATCAGTTTATACACAGTCCAGCTCACTGCTTAATGAATTGGGCTGTGTGCACAGCTTGGCAGAGGAGAGAGATGCCAGTTCAAGTTGTGTGTGTCGTATGGACGTCGCAGACATATGTTGGACAAATTTGATCTTCCTTACCAGGATGTCAATCAAACAGCCAGCGGAAGGTGGAGATTCATGCTTCAAATCTCAAAAGGTAAGATCTGAAAACATTGAAGGAGAGTCCCTGCACCAGAACTACTTCAGAACTACTTCAACAAGATAAAATAGTTTTGATGCAAAGTGCAGTGTACATGTTAGGACATATTTCTTCTCACCTCCAACCATGCCATACGCACAATGTAGAGTACAATGATATCAGACGGCCAGTATTGAGAATTCCAATTGCTGCAACTGAGAGAACTGTGGGGCTTGCTTATTGCAGATATAAGCCACTCACAGAGATAGACTCTATGCACCATCAATATTGCAGTGATGCAAAGTTGTGATGGTGCTTAGACTGATTCATTAATGACGGTGGGAGAGGAAGTTGGTGATGGTCAGTAGTGACGTGAGAGGGGGGGTATTGATTAATGATGATGGGAGAGAGTGAAGTCTAATGGTGGTCGGAGGAGGGGTTGATACATATGTTGACAATAATCTCCATTAGGCATCACCCTCACCCTCTCCAATCACCATTAGACATCACCCCTCCTTTCTCCCATCACCACCTGACATCAGACCCTCTCTCTCACAGTTTAATTAGACATCTCCTGTGTCTGGGTGTAT